GCCTTGAAGGTTTCCTTGAAAAGTGAACACACTGCAAATATTTTAGCTAGAGGTACAAATAGGGCCTTTCAGAATTAATATTTCTATGAAGTGAGAGCACAGGCAGTGGACCAGTGTAACTCCTAGTTCAATAAATGAGATCTTTGCCTCCACCCAGGTTTTCTACGCCAAAGGCGCGTAAAAGAGCTCCAGTAAACTTGGTTCTCTGTGGAGAACTCCCCTCCCCACAAAGCATGAAAGATCTTTTCTGCAGGTGTCTTGGATAGTTCTTCAAGACAAGGTACATGGAGGAGCTCAGAATATAGCGCTACAACACTGCAAACTCTGAAGCTCATATCACAGCCCAAAGAAGCTCTTGTAATTTGCCTTGTGTACCCTAGAAGGCTTAATTTTAGTTTTAGTTTCTGTAGCTTCATCTTCTACCCTCATTCTCTGTGCATGCAATGTACACTACAATATATACTCTATACCTGAAAACTGGTTCCTCAAACAGAGCCTGCAGGCCTTTTTGCCCAAATAAAAATATATATACTGCGTTTTTCACCAACACAGCTGGTAATAACGATACTCGTATGTTAGTATGCACTGATTATATTCTAGGCAGGCACTTCACTGTTGTCCAGACTGCAGCAGGGGCCGCTCAGCCCTTAGCTCAGGCTTACAGCAGTGCAAAAACGTGGTCAGCTTAGCAGAGCTCTTCCTCTTCCCACTGAGAGTTTTGGGCCGTGTCTTACAGAGCTGCACTCCAGACCCTTGGGGAAAGGCTGCGGGCCTCTCTGGGAGAGTATCCCGTTTTTAGAAGCTGTTGTATGAATTGCAGGGGGGACAAAAAGGCTGCCGTTTTCTAAAGGAGCCTTTCAGTTGCAGGGAATCAGACGTATCCTTTTCTACAAATGCATCTTCTGTGATAATAATGATGGAAATTTTCAAGGAAGCCAGTGGTATTACCCATACATCAGTGTTGCAAGGCAGAATTTTGGGGCAAGCTAGAGAACAGTTCTTAGAAAACATGGATCAGATTAACATATTCATTACTTTTCTCAAAAGGAAATATTTGGCAGGATCATCTGAAGAGATGTATGTTATCAAACAGAAATGCAGTAATGTTTCAAGTGATAAGCTGTGAAATGCATCTTAAAGAAAAGGGTCACTTTAGTTTGCAAATTTTTATCTTTTTGTCCATATAAGAACAGTTTAATCCGTGAGAAAATTTGTAAAGAATTCAGGTTAGCAAGGTAATAGGAGTAGTATTTCATGTATGCATCTATTGAAAGAAAAACTTCTGGTTTAAATTGTTTGACAGTCTCTTATACAATCTGAGATACTGTGAAAATCTGAAAGTTTTGAGCAGTTTAGAAAATGTGACTACCAGTAGAAACAAGTGAATCAGAGTTCAAAAGATAGAAGGAAAACAAAAGCATAGTGAAATTGTGAGAATGATACTTCCAACCCAGTTAAGTTTCAATATTAGTAAAATACTGTAAGAGAAAATCTCTTCTACAGAAAGAAAATAAAACATGGGTTTAGTATATCAGTATGATTATCTAATTTATGGGAAATATGATAAAGTAAGGAAGAAAATGGTGCTCACAACTTTACAGGCTGACTTACTCAGATGAAAAACCACTGGGACAACTGGCTGTGGGGCCAGCAGCGTTCCCCACTGACGGAACTTTGTAAACCTTGCTAAACCTCTTTTGCCATTCTGTCCTACTAGCAGTATGCAGCACTATCTAATGCCTATGCATTGCATATTGCAATAGAGGTTTAAGAAAACATGGTAACAAAAAAAGCCCCACAGTATAGGCTATTCATGATCAAAATTATACCGACAAGATGAGACTATTTGGTTTTATATTGGAGTAAAACAGAAATGAAGTGACAGTGAAGTCGCTACTGAAAACTACTGCACGGGAACGTGAATGAATGCATGAAAAACTAATGTATATAACTGTTAGTAAAGGGTCAAAAAAAAATGTCCCTCAAAACTTTCCACAAACTGTAACTTGTGTTTGGGGTGTTTTGCTGGCTATTCCCAGTCTCGCAGGGACAGGTTTATAGGAACTGAGGCTGAGCGTGAAGAAGGAGCATTCAGGAGAAAGCTACTAAGTCACTTATGAAGTACTGGCCACTTTATCTGTTTTCTAAGAGATAGCATCTAGTCTTGTACAACTAAATATTCAGGACTTTACCGATTATCAATGTAGAAATATTTAACAAGGAGTTGGGAGTCTGATTGTAGTCAGCCAAATTTGAAAAGTCATGAATCGGTGAAAAAGAAATATTAGAATAAATCAGTCTTTGGTTGTATTAATATTATTCATTCTTTTAAATTACGTTAGCCTTAGTGTTAACATACCAACAATACATGTAAAAATGGGTCATGACCATAAATTATGCACCTTGGACTGCTAGAGATTTGTGAGACCTGCAAAGAAAAGGAAGGCTTTATAAATGTCTAGAAAGAATAAATTGCAAATGAGTTTTGATTCATATATAAAGAATCTTCAATACTATATGGTTTCCAGCTTATTCTGCAGGCAAAGGTTAATCAGCTTTCATTTTGGGGGATAAAACAGCTGTGACCAGCTACTAAAATTTCTGATGCCTTAGGAATTTATTGTAATTAATTACAATCTGAAGCAGTTTCATAGTTTTTGATGAAGCCAACTTATTCTGCGCAATACAGACTGAAGTCTTGGAGTAGTGGTGGTGGTGTGCCTTACACTGCGGAGAAGTACACCCCAATTTGCTTACCTGTTCCCTTTTCCTCTGTTTACCCAGCTGATGGTGCAGTTTACATAGGAAGTCGTCCTCATTTTGTAGGTCACTTGTTCAGTAACCTTTCACCTGTGTGAATTGTGGTCAAAATCATACCTCAGGTGTTCGAATAGCACTTACTCCAGGCTGTCATTTGCCCCTTTGATGCTGACTTACCTGACCAGTAGTGAGCATTATTTTCCTTCTACAATTACTATAATGGAGCTGATTCCTGAAATGGAAAACAGGAGGCAGCTACAGACAGTTTGAACTGTGCTACCACAGTTCCACGGGCAGGCACCTTTCTTGGAATTTTGATGTTTCTTTGACTTTGCCCAGAAATACATTTGGTAAAAGAAGGAGTCAGGCATCTGGTCTGTATTTTCATGTGACCCTGTTTCAGCAGCTTGGAAATACAAGATTATCCAGATAGGTACTTTCTGGGTCTCTGACTTGTTCTATACAAAATGTGAAGGGAAAAAAAAAAAATTGGATTAATCAAAAACCATTTTTAACTGGAAAATTTCAAACCCATTAAAAATCCAGCTGAGCTCGGTTGAATTCCTAAGAGGTTATTGAAATAGAGGGAGGAAAAAAGAATTTTTGAACAGAGATATTGAATCTTATGATGCAAGATCATTACACCTTTGTTCAGTTACACCTCTACCACTTACGCCTCTTGCAAATGTCACCAGATTACAGTTTTAATAGGTGTTTTTACTTCTGAGTATCTACAGTGCTAGCATGCTGAACTGAACACGGTTACAAGAGAGAAGAGTTTCTTATTCTTTCCACTTGGATTTTCAGCTGAAATAGTGACTCAACGCCTGTAACTTGTGCTGCAGTTGAAACTCCTCATATTCTGGGGGATCTTGGTGCTTGCAGTCAGGTTGAGAATGGTAATGGCAGGCACAGCAGGGAACTGGGGTTCAATATGCTGGATGAGAAGGTGAGTGTTTTAGCACAGCTGCCTCCTGAGGGTCAGGGGGAAGGAAGAGCCCTGTGGGAGGATTTTCAAGCACCGCTGAGCTGGAACACCAGGAGACGATGATTGACTTCAGAAGAGCCCTGCTGTGCAAAGGATTGTTGTGTTGTGGTCCCCTTTATCAGGCTGGAGACATTTCTTTTGAAGGAGCCAAAAGGAGCCAAAAGTGGGAGAGTAGTGAGATAGCAGCAAAAAAAAACAAATAAAAAAATAATCATCAAACAAACAAATAAAAAAATAATTATCAAACAAACTCTCTTTGATAACATCGAGGTCTGGAGATTTGTTTCTGTTGCTAACAGCTTCATTGATTTGGCAGTTAATTTCATTAGAAAGATTGGCTTTGTATGGCAATAGTAAGATTTATGTATGAAAAACTGATGACCTGATCATGATGCAGTGCAGGTTGAACTGCTGTTTGTCTAGAAAAGGGATATTCATTTGAACCTCAATATACAGAGGAAATTTTATTTCTATTTGGTATGTACAATCAGAAATAAATAGCATGGTTTCAATCTTAATATGTGCATTTCTTCACAGGAGTTCAGACATGCAGCGCAGAACGGCACGAACCGGAAAGCACGCCCTTCTGCTGAGATCCCAGTGAAAACACCGCTCAGCTCGTGGATGGCTTTGCAGCTCCCATGGCAACAAGAAGGAGGTGGACTGAAGATACTGTCTGTCGGCCTGGCTCTACTGGCAGTTCTTGTTATGTTTTACTACGGAGGAATGAAAACAGAACTGTGAACTGAATGAGGCTTTTATGAAAACAATAAAACTGCTGTTTAAAATCTTCAAAGGAAACACTTTTACCAACAATTCTTTTTTCTTAAAAAAAAAAAAAAAAAACTAATATAAATTGGGCAATAATTTATACTCACCCTATGCCTTTCCTGTCATTCATAGGAGAGAATGTTAATAAGCTCTAGGGAGACCTATCTTGCCAAAATTTTCAATCCTTGGTTGGCAGAACAGTTTGTTGTATCTTTCCTCTTTTTTTTTCTAAAACGATGCAATGTTTGCATTGCTTACTCTTTTCATAACTGCTGTAGCAGGTAAAATTGCATGCAGGAAACTCATGAAGTTTATAAGAAATCTTTTCATTGAGTGATGTTGGTAATCTTCTGTGGGCAGAATATTTAAAGCTTTCTTAAAGATTTTACTTAATGCAGTGTGATGGTTTGATATATGTCTTTTTACGTTCAAACCAAACACTGCTGAGCCATTAAAGTTTGTCATTTGTTGCAATTGATTTTGCTCTCATATCTGAAAGAATTTTTGGCCTGCCATCTTGCCTCTCAACTTCACATTGGGTTACTAGGCTTTGTTAATAAAACAAGAATTATTTTTTACATAGAAATAGTTTTAAAGGTATTGGGCTTTTTATCACTGAATGGGAAGATGGAGTTCTAGTGGTAGGGTTCTCTTAAAAGATGGATTTAATACAGTCTCTATAGATTTAGTATAATGCTCAGAGAACTAAAAGTGAATCTGCTATTAGCTGTACATCAGATCATGCTGTGTATGACAATGTTGCTGTGTTAGTGGGGAGGTTATATTTTGCACACTGCACATTTCTAATTAATTTTTGTCATGACAGGATCTCCACGCATCTTGAGACTGCTGGTCAGTCAGTCAGGGACTGGACTTTTGCCCAGTTCTGCCAGCAGTTGACTGCACGATATTGTTCATTCGTTCATGCCTTGTCACCTCTCTGGCTCTTCATCCAAACTTCCACTTGCAAAGTCTGTTTAAAATCTTAAGAGCAAGAACTGTATTTTTTTTTTTAGTATGTTTGTGTCATACCCAGCACAGACAGAGCTGAGCTGCCTACATGGCTGTTATGCTTTAACCCCAGCAGGCAGCTAACACAGAGCCACTCGCTCACTCCCCCCCAGGTGGGATGGGGGCAAGAACTGGAAGGGTAAAAGCGAGAAAACTCGTGGGTTGAGGTAAAGACAGTTTAACAGGCAAAGCAAAAGCCGTGCCCGCAAGCAAAGCAAAACAAGGGATTCATTCACTCCTTCCCATGGGCAGGCAGGTGCTCAGCCATCCCCAGGAAAGCAGGGCTCCAACATGCATAACGGTGACTTGGGAAGACAAATGCCATCACTCTGAGCATCCCCCCCTTCCTCCTTCTTCCCCCAGCTTTATATGCTGAGCATGGTGTCATATGGTGTGTGGGACATCCCTTTGTTCAGCTGGGGTCAGCTGTCCCGTCTGTGCCCCCTCCCAGCTTCTTGTGCACCCCCAGCCTCCTCACTGGTGGGGTGGGTGAGGAGCAGAAAAGGCCTTGGCTCTGTGTAAGCCCTGCTCAGGAGTAACGTCCCTGTGTTATCAACCCTGTTTCTAGCACAAATCTAAACGTAGCCCCATGCTGGCTACTGTGTAGAAAATTAACTCTATCCCAGCCAAAGCCAGCACAGTGGCTCCACAGTGCAGATGAATAATCCCCTAGGAAGGAGGCTTTGTACTTTATAAACCGAAGTTTCCTAGTAGTTACAGGCAATTAATCAGGAAGTTCCACCATGATGCTTTCAGTACAGCCTGTAAGTTATAACAACAACTGTAACTGTCTTCAGGAAATTAGATGTGTAATGACTTGAGTATTTCCTTTCTTATTGCAACTACTGAAGGTCATGAGCCAGGACTCAAACTTCATGAGAGTTTTTAAAAAACCTGTGCTCTTGATTTGCTTCTGCTTGTTTTTTTCAGGCTTTTCTTTACAACCAGGAATATGTAATAATCAGTAATTTACATTTTTAACAAATTTGAAATATTAAAAAAAACAAACCCACTTGACTCTGGGAGCTGAAATTTTTAGGGAAAGTACCACATATCACAAGATTCTCAGGAAAACTATGAGTTGACAAAATCATTGTATCTGATCCAAATTTTTGCATTTGATGGGAATAAACTATGCAGACATGTTCTATGCCTCTAGCACTCTCTGTCAGCCACGCTAGCTTATTTAATCATAGCAATTACAGACTCATTGCATCAGCTGTTACAAAGATTTACGAAGCTTGTGATTTAGATTCTGTGCATTGTTGGCTTTAATGGGACGGGCTTATTTTCTTAGAAATGATGCAATATAAAGAAAGAGGGTGAAGAAGACTTTGTAAATGGCATTGCCCACAGATGCAGTACGTTCTTAAACTGAGCTTTAACCTGATAAGTAGGAAGTGTTGTTTGTCAAGTATTTTGTTATCTTCGTTTAGATTTTGAGAGGGCTTCTTGACACTTTGTATTGTAGAGCGGTAGAGTGTTTGTCATTTGTTCCTGTTTATTTACAACTAAAGCTTTCAAAGCCACTGAGCTGAACAAGTCCGTTCTGGTCACACAGCTCCTTTGGACCTTCAGACAAAACCCAAACCACATGCTGCTTGAGGCTGCTGTTGAAGACCGCTGGGATACCTCAGCGCGTGTAGAGTAAACCATAGAAGCGTATCTACTTCATGGAACGGGTTGACCTGAACGCCTTTGATCTGTGATTTTTGGTCCCATTTGGCTCCCTGAGTGCTTCTAACTGCTGTGCCAGGTGGCGTTCTTCATTTTTACATCAGCATTATGTTTGAGGCCTACTTCCACCAAGCATTCTCTCTTTACAAGCCATCACGTTGGGTGAGAAATCTTCTGCATTCCACGTTAATGAGGTCCTTGCAGGAGAAGTTTCCCCACAGTCAGTTGATCTCACTCTTACACGTGGGTGAACACACTCATTACTAGAGACTGTGTCTGCTAATAAGCAATCTACATTCAATGCCTTTTTTTTTTTTTTAAAGTAAAAAAGAATCTAATTTCCTTTCAGTACCAAGGAAGCCTCAACTATTTTTCTTAAATGTCTGTGGTAGCTCCGAGTTCTCTTTGGCTGTTTGCAGTGAGGAATCTTGCAAACCACAAGACTTGAATAGCAATGGCATCTTAAATCTCTTCTGAATAAATTTGAAGTGCACACTTCTTATATCCTACTTGTGCACAGTTTTGGATGGTGGAGGACTTTGTCATTTAATCTTGTAGCTTTCTGTTAGTGGTATACTTGTTTAGAAAAGAATATGAAATAAAAAATGTGGTCTATGTAAAGCTTGTTCGGTAAAGCAGGAGAGAGAAAGAAGGAGAAGGTACCTCTGAGGAGAGTTCATCCACATCTATCACATCATTGCCTGCACATCTCTGAACATCTGACAGCTTCTGTTAATTTAGTTTCACTCCCCGGTTCAACTTCCCATATGGAAAGCTGGAGTGATTTTTGAATAACAGCAAGTAATATCTGAAGTGGCAGCAACTGGCAACTCTGACATTGAGCTTGGCTGTGGCCGTTACCCAGAATCCTTCCGCGCTTCTTGAGAAGCAATTACAATTTCACAGGTTGGAATTAAAATTCCCCGCGGTATGCAATAGAGTAACTGAAACTGTCAAAGTGATTTCAAGCTGCTAATCTCTCCCTGCTCAAAGAGTGAAAATAGAGCCCCTCTTACCCAGGCACAGATCTGACAACTTAAAAACTCCAGCCTTCCACTACATTTAAATACATATGGAGAGTGGCTTGAGCTGCTCACAGAGGATATTTGTAAAGATGTTATGTCTATGAACATTTGTGTGCTATTAACAAGTCTATCTTTTTCAACTTTAAGATGTGCGTAACTTCAGGGACTAACACAAATGTAAAAGAAGTAAAAAGCAAGAGCTCTGAGACTTTGGAGGAACGAGTAGGCATGTGCCTATTTGTGTGAGGCTTATTAAAACCTTTATTTATGTGTTTCTGAACATGTAGTACTTTCTGCTGAAAAATTGCTTGCAACTTTCCCAAATTTTATATTCACATATTTATATCCTGCATTTTATTTCAAGTACACTGTGTTTTATTGTATAGATAAAAAAAAAGAGCATTTAGAAATGAAAAACAGAGGAAAAAAAATAAGAGGCTGTAAAGCTAGGGTGTAAAATGAAAAACAGTAGTGCGAAAGCTGCAGAGCAGGTTTGAACTAGGAGACACAGCCCACAGAGTTAGGGACTGGCTGCAAAACACCATTTGACTTGTTCGGAGGCAGCATTCGTCCACTAGAGAATGAAAATTAGAATGATTGCTGGAAACTATTTCTGTAAATACCATTAAATGTCTTTTAGTTGCATATTTCATTCATGCATGCACTTAACATTGAAGTGAATGCTTTTTTCTTTAAATGAATATGCTCCAGTAGGTGGTGGAGGGGAGGCAAATTATGAACAGTCCTATTTTAATTTTAAAGAAGCCCAATACAAAAAAAAAAAAAAAAATTGTAACAAATACTCATGGCCCTGCACCTGCTGGTATCCCAAAGTCTGTTAACTCCTACTTGGGAAGCTGTAGTTATGGGTCTGGATCACTTATGCCTTAGATCTCCTTGTGCTGTGTTGTGACAGGTTGGGTGTTTGAAAAGTCGTGGAAGTGCCTGTGTTCCAGTCAAAAAGCCACTCAATCTGATGGCAGAAAAGATCTTCAGATCTTTGTTTCTCTGTTCCACACCTCTCTCTCATGCCTTTTCACCATCTGTGCATAGACTTCATTCTCTAAGTCTCTTCTCATTCAAATCTCCTTTATCAATGTCTCCTTTATCAACGGGACTTAAAGAACAGGTAGATAACATGTTTAGGTTTCCACATGATTCTCTTAGGAAAGGAAGGTAAGAAAGGAAGGTAAGGATATGTGGTCCACTGATGAAGGTGGTGTGATGATCAAAAAGCATGAGAAACTCTTGTGCAACGATATGAGAGCTACGTCATCACCTAAATGTATCATAAGATCTGTCTTGTGCATCCTCAT